TGAGGGCCACAGAACTGTTACTTAGGGCCACAGAAACGTTAATTAGGGCCACAGAATTGTTTACAGACACAGAATTGTTACTGAGGGACACAGAATTGTTACTGAGGGACACAGAATTGTTACTGAGGGGACACAGAATTGTTACTGAGGGACACAGAATTGTTACTGAGGGCCACAGAATTGTTACTTAGGGCCACAGAATTGTTACTCAGGGACACAGAATTGTTACTGAGAGGGCCACAGAACCGTTACTTAGGGCCACAGAAACGTTACTCAGGGACACAGAATTGTTACTGAGGGCCACAGAACCGTTACTTTAGGGCCACAGAATTGTTACTCAGGGACAGACACAGAATTGTTACTGAGGGACACAGAATTGTTACTGAGGGACACAGAATTGTTACTCAGGGACACAGAATTGTTACTGAGGGCCACAGAACACAGAAATTTTACTTAGGCCCAGAACTGTTACTTAGGGCCACAGAAACGTTACTCAGGGACACAGAATTGTTACTGAGGGCCACAGAACCGTTACTTAGGGCCACAGAATTGTTACTCAGGGACAGACACAGAATTGTTACTGAGGGCCACAGAATTGTTACTTAGGGCCACAGAATTGTTACTTAGGGCCACAGAATTGTTACTTCAGGGCCACAGAAACGTTACTCAGGGACACAGAATTGTTACTGAGGGCCACAGAACCGTTACTTAGGGCCACAGAATTGTTACTCAGGGACAGACACAGAATTGTTACTGAGGGACACAGAATTGTTACTGAGGGACACAGAACCGTTACTTAGGGCCACAGAATTGTTACTCAGGGACAGACACAGAATTGTTACTCAGGGACACAGAATTGTTTACTGAGGGCCACAGAACCGTTACTTAGGGCCACATTGTTTACTCAGGGACACAGAATTGTTACTGAGGGCCACAGAACCGTTACTTAGGGCCACAGAAACGTTACTCAGGGACAGACACAGAATTGTTTTCAGGGACACAGAAGACAGGGACACAGAATTGTTACTTCAGGGACACCAGAATTGTTACTCAGGGACACAGATTGTTACTGAGGGACACAGAATTGTTACTGAGGACCACAGAATTGTTACTGAGGGACACAGAATTGTTACTGAGGGCCACAGAATTGTTACTCAGGGGACACAGAATTGTTACTCAGGGACACACAGAAAGAATTGTTACTGAGGGCCACAGAAACCGTTACTTAGGGCCACAGAAATTGTTACTCAGGGGGACACAAATTGTTACTCAGGGACACAGAAAGAATTGTTACTCAGGGCCACAGACGACACAGAATTGTTACTCAGGACAGGACAGACACAGAATTGTTACTCAGAGGGACACAGAATTGTTACTGAGGGACACAGAATTGTTACTGAGGGACACAGAATTGTTACTGAGGGCCACAGAACTGTTACTTAGGGCCACAGAATTGTTACTTAGGCCACACAGAAACGTTACTCAGGGACACAGAATTGTTTACTGAGGGCCACAGAACCGTTACTTAGGGCCACAGAATTGTTACTCAGGGACAGACACAGAATTGTTACTGAGGGCCACAGAATTGTTACTTAGGGCCACAGAAACATTACTCAGGGACCACAGAATTGTTACTGAGGGACACAGAATTGTTACTTAGGGCCACAGAATTGTTACTCAGGGACAGACACAGAATTGTTACTGAGGGACCACAGAATTGTTACTGAGGGCCACAGAATTGTTACTTAGGGCCACAGAATTGTTACTCAGGGACAGACACAGAATTGTTACTGCAGGGGACACAGAATTGTTACTGAGAGGGCCACAGAACCGTTACTTAGGGCCACAGAGAATTGTTACTCAGGGACACAGAATTGTTACTGAGGGCCACAGAACCGTTACTTATAGGGCCACAGAATTGTTACTAGGGACAGGACAGAATTTGTTACACACAGAATTGTTACTGAGAGGGACACAGAATTGTTACTGAGGGACACAGAATTGTTACTAGAGGGACACAGAATTGTTACTGAGGACACAGAATTGTTACTGAGGGCCACAGAATTGTTACTCAGGGACAGACACAGAATTGTTACTCAGGGGACACAGAATTGTTACTGAGGGCCACAGAAATTGTTACTCAGGGCCACAGAAATGTTACTGAGGGCCACAGAATTGTTACTGAGGGACACAGAATTTATTACTCAGGACAGACACAGAATTGTTACTCAGGGACAGACACAGAATTGTTACTGAGGGACACAGAATTGTTACTGAGGGCCACAGAATTGTTACTTGAGGGACACAGAATTGTTACTGAGGGACACAGAAATTGTTACTACTGAGGGACACAGAATTGTTACTGAGGGCCACACAGAACCGTTACTTAGGGCCACAGAATTGTTACTCAGGGACAGACACAGAATTGTTACTGAGGGACACAGAATTGTTACTGAGGGACACAGAACCGTTACTTAGGGCCACAGAATTGTTACTCAGGGACAGACACAGAATTGTTACTCAGGGACACAGAATTGTTACTGAGGGCCACAGAACCGTTTACTTAGGGCCACAGAATGTTGTTACTCAGGGACACAGAATTGTTTACTGAGGGCCACAGAACCGTTACTTAGGGCCACAGAATTGTTACTCAGGGACAGACACAGAATTGTTACTCAGGGACAGACACAGAATTGTTACTGAGGAGGACACAGAATACGTTACTGAGGGACACAGAATTGTTACTGAGGGACACAGAATTTTACTGAGGGACACAGAAATTGTTACTCAGGGACAGACACAGAATTGTTACTCAGGGACAGACACAGAATTGTTACTCAGGGACAGACAGAATTGTTACTGAGGGACACACAGATTGTTACTGAGGGACACAGAATTGTTTACTCAGGGCCACACGTTTACACGTGGACACAGAATTTACTCAGGGACAGACACAGATTGTTACTGAGGGCCACAGAATTGTTACTGAGGGACACAAAGGTTACTCAGGGACACAGAATTGTTACTGAGGGACACAGAACACGAATGTTACTGAGGGACACAGAATTGTTACTCAGGGACACAGAATTGTTACTGAGGGACACAGAATTGTTACTGAGGGACACACAGAAATTGTTACTGAGGACACACAGAATTGTTACTTGAGGGACCACAGAATTGTTACTTGAGGGACACAGAATTGTTACTGAGGGCCACAGAACGTTACTTAGGGACACACAGAATTGTTACTCAGGGACAGACACAGAATTGTTACTGAGGGGCCACAGAATTGTTACTTAGGGCCACAGAAATTGTTACTCAGAGGGACACAGAATTGTTACTGAGTGGCCACAGAAACCGTTACTTAGGGCCACAGAATTGTTACTCAGGACAGACACAGAATTGTTACTCAGGGACACAGAATTGTTACTGGGACAGACCACAGAAACCGTTTGAGTAGTGACACAGAATGTTGTTAGGGGGACACACAGAAATTGTTACTCAGGAGGACAGACACAGAATTGTTACTCAGGGACAGACACAGAATTGTTACTGAGGGCCACAGACACAGACTTATTGGCCACAGAGGGACAGGGACACAGAATTGTTACTGAGGGCCACAGAACCGTTACCAGGGGACAGACAGAATTGTTACTCAGGGACAGACACAGAATTGTTACTGGAGGGACACAGAATTGTTACTTAGGGCCACAGAACCGTTACTTAGGGGCCACAGAATTGTTACTCAGGGACAGACACAGAATTGTTACTGAGGGACAGACAGAATTGTTACTGAGGGACACAGAATTGTTACTGAGGACACAGAATTGTTACTGAGGACACAGAAATTGTTACTCAGGGGACACAGAATTCCAGCGTGTTACTGAGGGACACAGAATTTTTTACTGAGGGACACAGAATTGTTACTGAGGGGGACACATAATTTGTTACTGAGGGACAGACACAGAATTGTTACTCAGGGACCACAGAATTGTTACTGAGGGCCACAGAATTGTTACTCAGGCCACAGAATTGTTACTCAGGGAGGACACAGAATTGTTACTCAGGGACAGACACAGAATTGTTACTCAGGGACAGACACAGAATTACAGAGGACAGACAGAATTGTTACTGAGGACACACAGAATGTTGTTACCACAGAAACAGACAGGACACAGAATTGTTACTCAGAGGGACACAGAATTGTTACTCAGAGGACAGACACAGAATTGTTACTGAGGGACACAGAATTGTTACTGAGGGTGGCCACAGAACTGTTACTGTAGGGACACAGAATTGTTACTGAGGGCCACAGAACTGTTACTATAGGCCACAGAACTGTTACTTTAGGGCCACAGAAACGTTACTCAGGGACACAGAATTGTTACATCAGGGACACAGAATCGTTTAATTAAAGAGTATGTCAGACAACATGCAGAGGAGTGGCAGAGGAGGCAATGTTTTAGGAGCGAGCAGACGTGGCAGCAGAGGAAGGGGTCGAGGCAGCACTATTCGCAGCCAGAGGCTAGTGCTCCCGAGTGTCATCCAGTACAGTGAGGAAGAGCTAACAGAGGGCGGTCAGGAACGGGGGGAGACATCCGCCTCTTTCAGCAGCCAGGCGAAGAAGTAGTGGCGAGGAGAGTGGCTCGGTAGCCGGTCTAGAGACAGGTCTGTCTCCTGACCCACACGCAGCCGAGGGGGCTAGTAGTGAGGCGGAGACCCTAATTGATGATGATGAGGCTGATCGCACTTGGCAGCCTCGTCGTCATCAGGCTATTGCTTCCGCATCATCAGAGAGAAGAGGGTGGCAGCTTGGCAGCGAGCAAAACAGTCGGTGGGTTGTCTCCATCGCCACACTCTGCCATGTGCCACTTTCAGGTCTCCTCACACACTGCTGGTGTGTTCCATTTTTTGACATAGGGTGCTGGCAGATTACGGGCCTCCCATAGCTGCTGCCAGGCCCCTAATCTGCCATGGGCCCCTATATACCGCCCGCCTCCTCATGCTGCTGCCAGTCCAAGTCTGTCATGGGTCCCTGTACGGCCTCCCATTGCTGCTGTCTCCATCGCCACACTCTGCCATGTGCCACTTTCAGGTCTCCTCACACACTGCTGGTGTGTTGAATTTTTTGACATAGGGCTGGCAGATTACGGGCCTCCCATAGCTGCTGCCAGGCCCCTAATCTGCCATGGGCCCCTATATACCGCCTCCTCATGCTGCTGCCAGGTCCACATGGGTGTCGGCATGCCATTGCTGCTGTCTCCATCGCCACACTCTTGTCTTTCAGGTCTCCTCACACACTGCTGGTGTGTTCAATTTTTTGACATAGGTGCTGGCAGATTACGGGCCTCCCATAGCTGCTGCCAGGCCCCTAATCTGCCATGGGCCCCCTAATACCGCCTCCTCATGCTGCTGCCAGGTCCAGAGTCTCTCATGGGTCCCTGTACGGCCTCCCATTGCTGCTGTCTCCATCGCCACACTCTGCCATGTGCCACATTCAGGTCTCTTCACACTGCTGGTGTGTTCCAATTTTTTGACATAGGGTGCTGGCAGATTACGGGCCTCCCATAGCTGCTGCCAGGCCCCTAATCTGCCATGGCCCCCTGTACCGCCCCCTCATGCCGCTGCCTCCTCATGCTGCTGCCAGGTCCACAGTGTCTCATGCCATGTGCCACTTTCAGGTCTCCTCACACTGCTGGTGTGTTCAATTTTTTGACATAGGGTGCTGGCAGATTACGGGCCTCCCATAGCTGCTGCCAGGCCCCTAATCTGCCATGGGCCCCTATACCGCCTCCTCATGCTGCTGCCAAGTCCAGAGTCTCTGTCATGGGTCCCTGTACGGCCTCCCATTGCTGCTGTCTCCATCGCCACACTCTGCCATGTGCCACTTTCAGGTCTCCTCACACACACTTTCTGGTGTGGTGTTGACATTTTTTGACATAGGGTGCTGGCAGATTACGGGCCTCCCATAGCTGCTGCCAGGCCCCCTAATCTGCCATGGGCCCCTATACCGCCTCCTCATGCTGCTGCCCAGGTCCAGGCGAACGTAGTCACACAGGGGAGGAACTTCTCAGTGTAATGAACAGAGAAATCGACAGATGCTGCCTGATCTCCGCCGCAAAGCTGAAAATCGGAACCATGTTGACCGACAACTGGAAAGAACATGGTGTCTGCTCTGCTGTTCAAGGAAGGTTGTGCCATGCGCCATGCATACGGCTCACGTGTTCAATCTGGTTGTCAAGCGGTTCCTAAAATCCACCATCCCACTGCAAGACATCCTTAAAATGTCACGTAAACTTTGCATGCATTTCAGCCATTCCTACACCGCAAAAGCTGCTGCTTTCAGGCCCCTAATCACACCCCCCTTGAGCTGCAGCGGCAGAACGGAATTCCACAGCATCGCCTGATCTGCGACGTTGCAACAAGGGTGCTGAATTCCAACCCTACACATGTTTAGAACCGCCTCCTTACGAACAGCGAAAGGCTGCTGGGCCCATCACATGAACCGATTTCCTGATGTTACAAGCGGATAAAGGTACGCCCCCTGTGTAACTTCGATGTCAGCCATTGGCAGCTCATGCGTGACACCTGCCGCTTGCTTCAGGCCCTTTGAAGGAGGCCATGCTATTCGTGAGTCGGCAGGACTAATGGGATGAACGACGTCATGGCCAGCCCTCTGTTGCACGTCCTGGAACAAATGCTGTTAACAATGGCTGGTCAGGGTGCGGTAGACGTGGCGCACAGATCGCCTCAACGCCACATGACCCCTGTGGGGGCAGGACAGGAAGAAGAGGATGAGGTAGAGGAGGACATTAGGTGCTCAGGAATTATTGAGTGAAATGGGTGGTTTTTTCCACTCAGCGGACAGGAGTGGAGGAGCAGGAGCATCTGGTAGAGCCGGAGGAGGAGACAGAGGACCCAGACGCACCGTGGCAGTCCAGCTGTGGGAGATGGACTTTCAGGGAGTCCCTCGCATTCCTTGGCACAAATGGCCCATAGCATGCTGGCAGAACTTACTTGCTTGCGTAGCGACAGCCGAAAACTAACCATCAGACAGAGGGATGACTTTTGGCTGTCCACCTTGTTGGACCCTCGCAAACCATACAAAAGGTTCGGCCTCCAAAATGGTGGCTCCTTTTCACACCTGCTGAGAGGGAGGCCAAAATAACGTACTATAAAAACCAAACCACCTATGTAGTCAGTTGGTCTCTGCCTTTGTGCGCCAACGTCCATCCTGCCAGACACTGTGGGCCCTGTGCGCTCCGCGTTTATCCGCTGCCCATGGCAGCAGGGGAGGGGTGGGTGGTAGGAGCAGTGGCAGCTCCACCAGCAGGCGGCTGCCTCAGTCTGCAGTCGATGATGAGGTAGCTTTTCCTTCACCAAGCGCAGTGAGGAAACTACTAACCAGCCCGCAGCAGCAGCAGCAAGGCCCCAATCAGGTGGACCTGGAGCAGGCCCCTCAAACAACAGGCTTCATGCCTAGCTTGGACAGCACCAGAGTCTGCCATGGAACCGAGGTAGACCTCCCCTTGACTACTGGGCAACGCCAAACTTGATGTGCCCTTTTTTGGCCCCAACTCCAGCTGCCCTTGAAATCAGCTTTCATGCCCGGCCAGTAGCGTGCATCGGAGCGCGTGTTTAGTGCTGGCAGAGGTATTGTAACTCCCTGCGGAGGCCACGACTGTCCACATACCAAAGTGTGGAGAGACTCACGTATTGTGAAAATGAATCAGGCGTGGATTAGTCTGGATTGTCAAACCACCTCTGTCCTGTACTTGCAACTGACACCAATCCCCCCTTGAATCATGCCCCACTCTGCCATGTGCCACTTTCAGGTCTCTCACACACTGCTGGTGTGTTGAATTTTTTGACATAGGGTGCTGGCAGATTACGGGCCTCCCATAGCTGCTGCCAGGCCCCTAATCTGCCATGGGCCCCTATTACCACCTGCCTCCTCATGCTGCTGCCAAGTCCAGAGTCTGTCATGGGTCCCTGTAACGGCCTCCCATTGCTGCTGTCTCCATCTCGCCACACTCTCTGCCATGTGCCACTTTCAGGTCTCCTCACACACTGCTGGTGTGTTTGAATTTTTTTGACATAGGGTGCTGGCAGATTACAGGGCCTCCCATAGCTGCTGCCAGGCCCCTAAATCTGCCATGTAGAGGCCTACATATACCAGCGGGCCTCCTCATGCTGCTGCCAGTCCAGAGTCTCTCATGGTTCCCTGTACGGCCTCCCATTGCTGCGAGGTCTCCATCGCCACACTCTGCCAAGTGCCATCTGTTCAGGTCTCCTCACACTGCTGGTGTGATGAAAAATTTTTTGACATAGGGTGCTGGCAGATTACGGGCCTCCCTATAGCTGCTGCCAGGCCCCTAATCTGCCATAGGGCCCCTATATACCGCCTGAAGTCCTCATGCTGCTGCCAAGTCCAGAGTCTGTCATGGGTCCCTGTACGGCCTCCCATTGCTGCTGTCTCCATCGCCATCACAATCCAACTCTGCCATGTGCCAGTAACTTTCAGGTCTCCTCACACTGCTGGTTGTTGAATTTTTTGACAATAGGGTGCTGGCAGATTACGGCCTCCCATAGCTGCTGCCAGGCCCCTAATCTGCCATGGGCCCCTATAAGCCACCCCCTGCCTCCTTCAAAGCTGCTGCCAAGTCCAGAGAGTCTGTCATGGTCCCTGTAACGGCCTCCCATTAAGGCTGCTTGTCCCAACATCCATCGCCACAACTCCTGCCATGTGCCATCTTCTTCAGTCTTCCTCACACACTGCTAGGTGTGTTGAAATTTTTAACATAGGGCTTGCTGGCAGATTACGGGCCATCCAGCCGTACAACTCGAAAGCTGCCATTGCAGCCCCTAACTGGCCATGGGCCCCTAAAATAGCGCCTCCTTCATCAGGCAAGGAAACAACCGAACCACCAGTCCTCACCTTATCAAACAAGTAAGATGGCCTCCAGTTCCCATCGGTGCCATCAGCCATGTGGGAGGCCAACTATCAGGTCTCAATCAACACTGCTGGTGTATTTTAGAATTCAGTCAAACGTTGACATAGGGGTGCTGGCAGACTACGTACGGGCCTGTTCCCAAGCTGCATGACAGGCACCCTGAATCTGCCCATGCTGGCCTCCAGGACTACAGAACTCCCCAAGATGCCCCTCACCAACAGAGGCATCATGCGACCACATTTAATGGCCATCAGAAGCTACAAGGGGAAAATGGCGGACCTAAGGGAGTCGCCATCACTAACGTGCCTCATAAAAATTCAGTAAACATGGTTCAACTCACACACAGCCAGAACAATACAGTAATAAACAACCAGGCAGCAATCAACGGGCCAACTCCCCACCCACCAAAGCCATTTCCAAAAATACTGCAATCAGGTACAGAACCAAACCCAAACAAAGAACAACAAGAAAAAGATAGATTACATTGAAACAGAAACACCTGTCAAAAATAACTAAAAATCCAACAACACCCAACGCCACACACCTCCACTAACTATTCAAAACCCCACTGTATTGCTATTGCCATCAAATTTATTTTTACAAAACTCATCAACCTTACAAGCCAATCACACCACATATCAAATAAATCAAAAGATACGCCTAACAAACTTACCAACTAACAGGCCCCTATCCAACTCTCAACAAAGATTACGACTCCCATACATTTCTATTCCCATCTATTAATTTTCAAAATAGGAAAAAACCAAACAAAAAGCCAAAATATCCAACGTACATAACAAAAACACATTCACTCAAACAAGTACCAAATTCAATAAATTATTCAGACCTACACTAAAACATATCAAAGAACACAGCCATTAAACAACATAATTTACATGGAAGCACTGTCAATCCATTACCCAAAAGACCAGTTCCATCATTTCTTAAACACTCCATAAATCAAAAATAATTAACTTTTACTAACATAACAAACACCAACAATATCACATCATTAGGGACTATAAGCAACCAATAAACCCCCCACATCATATTATCAGGAACAACATTAGAAAATCGAAAAAACTCACAAACAAATCCCCATCTACAAAAAATCTAATAAACAAATACAAAAATCAAACTTTTTCAAAATTTCTGTTAAACCAAAAAAATCACACCAATTTGCCAACAAATCATAAAAAATGCTAAAACACAATCCTTTCACTAAAAAAATCATAACACATACGAAAGATTTCAAAAAAAAATCCAATTCCAGTACAATCAATAACATTAAAAAAAAGCTTCATATCAGGGCCACCCAATCTATGCACATCTAGCAGTAATAAAAACACGAAATAAATCCAAAACACACCATCTCAAATTCAAAAAAACAAAAGACATAATCATAATTTCCAAATCATAACAACCTACTGCCAAACTACTTCACATTAATTTTCAAAAACAAAGCCATAAACCGAACAACATTATTCTTAACAATCCAATAAAATCCAACTCACAAAATTAAAATCCCAGCCAAATCACCACCCAACACAAAAAACCAAAGAAAACAAAACATTAAAATAAAAA